CTCCCCCTTTGTCAATAATTAGCACAAAAGGCGAGCTTAAATTATAGATAGGTTAGGGTGAAACCATATGAAATAAGGATCATTTTACCAATTTGGTTCAATCTAGATCACTTGCAAAAGATATTTAGCTCGGTTTGATCCAAGGACAAGCTTCTTCACACCTCCAAATAAGGGTTATCTTGTACCATGTTGAGTTAAATACTTATAGCTTATTTTCTAGATCAAACACTAGGTTTACAAGCCCACAAACATATCATATGCTACCACTAGATCATTTCAAGCATACAAGCAATAGTGGTACCATACAAGTATCAAATTCATTTGATTTTCATGAATGAGTCTATTCAAATGTGAAATATGTCTAGATGCACTAAACATGTCCTTAGAAAGGATGTATGCCATGCCAATCAACTTTTACCTTGGATTGCTCGAAGGAGAGGCATGTCATAGAATGGGGGGGGGTGCATCAACACATATTGGAGAAGTCAAGTATGTTTAATTCATTTCTTAGCTTGCAAAACCTCTTCTTATCAAGTGGCTTGGTGAAGATATCGGCAAGTTGATCTTCGGTGCCCACACTCTCAATGCAAATGTCCCCTTTTTGTTGGTGATCTCTTATGAAATGATAGCGGACATCAATATGCTTTGTTCTTGAATGTTGAACCGGGTTGTTGGTGAGCTTTACAGCACTCTCATTGTCACGTAGCAATGGCACTTGCTTGAATTTAATTTCAAAGTCACTCAACGTAGCCTTCATCCAAAGTAATTGAGCACAACAACTACCGGCTGAAATGTACTCCGCTTCGGCGGTTGAAAGTGCTACACTATTTTGCTTCTTTGATGACTAAAACAAAATGGCTCCTACTATTTATACCTTGCCTTGAGCCTTTTGTTTTTCTCTTTCTTCTTTTTCAAGTTCAAGCATTTGATCATCACCATGCCATCACCATCATCATAATCTTCACCATTGCTTCATCACTTGGAGTAGTACTACCTATCTCATAATCACTTTGATAAATTAGGTTAGCACTTAGGGTTTCATCAATTAACCAAAATCAAACTAGAGCTTTCATTGGGAGAAGGACGAAGGGCAGAGCGCAGGCCACGCGGCCGTGGCAGCGAGGAGGACTTGACGAGTGACCGGGGAGAGGAAGGACGATGACGTAGCTCGGGCCGTGCGGCCGTGTCGGCGAGGACGGTCCGACGTGGCTGGGGAGGACGAGGAGAGCCCCGACGCATGCGGTTGTTTCTAGGCGAGCGACTCGCGTGCGGTTGGCCGTATAGATGGCCAACGGGCCGACCCGGCCTGGCACGTCACGGGCCCGTGCCAGCACGGCCCGATAGCCAATGGGCCAGCACGACACGTCGTGCCTATCGGGCCATGCCGAGGCGGGCACCGTGCCTGACCTACGGCCCAGGCACGGGCTGCTAGGCCATTTATCGGGCCGGGCCGGCCAGAGAAGCACGGCCAATCCAGCATTCCGGGCCAGCCCGAGCCTACGATGAAGCGCGACTACGCGAGCAACCAGAGAGAGGGGGAAGGGGAGGAAGCGCGAGCGGCCAGAGATGCAGTGGCCGCCTGCGACCTTGCCCTTGGGCCTAGATCCAGGACCCCCCCGTCATCGTGGCCGCCGGAGTGGAGGCCGGGATGGATGCGGAGGGGGAGAGGCTGTGGCGTCTGTGCACTGGCAGCCCGTAGCGAGCCACCGTCGTAGTCGCGTCGGCCCGGCCTCGATGCCGCCCATAGTTCCATGAGCTACGGCCACCGGAGTAGCCCGCGTGGCTCCCGCTCCGCTGCCGCGCTGCCACTGCACCACAGCCCCGCCACCGCACCACCGTCGCCATCGCAGCCGCCTCCCACCATGGCACCACAGATCTGCGTGCCGACAGGCCAGATCCAGCCAAGGGGACGACAGATTCGAGCATGGCTAGGGCTGGCTGCCGCCCCATGCAGACCTCCACCATGACTAGAATCCCTAACTCAGGAGCACCTCTCGGAGAGAGAAAGGAGGGAGGAGAAGGGGGAAGACCCAGCCGCCGCCATCCTTGCCTTCGACCGGCCTGCCTTCGGAGAGAGAGAGGAGGGAGAAGGAGGCATTGAGCTCCGGTCGGCTGGGGATGAGAGCGGCCGGGTGACGGTCTCGGGGAGGGAGCGAGGGGCTGCGGTGCGGCTGCGCCTGGGATTTGGGGAACGGGGTGTCGGGGTGTTAGGGTTAGGGATGGTGCTTGGGCGGCAAGCAGCCAAGGGCCACCAATGGCCTTCAGACAGAGCGGGCCGTGCAGTGCCAATTTCACGTGCACTGGGGTAAGGCCAGGCCACGACCTACTCTCTCCGGGCCAGGCCCCGCCAAGACCCGCTATCACCGGGCAGCCCAAAAAAAAAACGGGCCTTGGGCCGGGCCGACGGGCTCGAGCTGCATGGCCGAAGGGATAAGGCAATGTAATAAGAAAAGAAAAGAAAAAAGAAAAAAAATAAGGGTATTATGAACATTTTATCATCTGTGATTTCTGCTCGAGAAGCTCCTTTGCCGAAACGGTTAATAAAAACAGATTCAGCTCTACGAGTAAATCTGTTCCACAGGTAAAATCACGACTGAAGCTGAGCCCTACCAAACAAGCCTATCGTCTATTTTCTTCTCTATTGTTTTATTCTTTTTACTTAGAATTTTGCCGACTCTTATTTAGAATATATAAGACAATGGCTTTAAGGGCATCAATGGGTGACTCATAAGTTAGCTTTTAAGTATTTTTTTTATATTTTAGTAGAAGAGAGAAAAATTATTTCTGAATAGGCTCAAGAACATATGAGAGTGTCATATGAGTCCAATCATACTATAAGCTATTGTTAAAAGCTAATATTATTGGAGAGTTTGACTGAAAGCTAGTAACTCACTTTTAGCGTGTTGCGGGAGCCTAAGGGCTTGTTTGGAATGCGGGATTTTTTTCTCATTTCCTGCGTTTTTCCTGTGAAATTAAACTGATTCATGTGAATATCCTACGTGATTCCTGTGAAATTCCTGCGCTCCATACAGGGCCTTGTTTAGATTGCAAATTTTTGCAACCTGAACACTATAGCACGTTTCGTTTGTATTTGACAAACTTTGTCCGATCATGGACTAACTAGGCTCAAAAGATCCGTCTCGTGATTTATAATCCAACTGTGTAATTAGTTTTTTTTTACCTACATTTAATACTCCATGCATACATCCAAAAATTAATGTGATGGAAAGAGAATAAAAAAAATTTAGAGGTGATCTAAACAAGGCCCAGGTCTAACTATGTTTTTAGATCGGTCACTGATTTCGTGGATGTTGTTGCCTCCGACCGTGCTTCATGTCTGGATTTGGTTATGTCCGTATCCACTCTCACCTGAGTGACCCGATGCGGAAACGAAACAAGGAGGGTCTGACTCTGAAGAATCTCTTCCCCCTACCGTACTAATCGGTCCTGTCCTGGTGGCGGTGGCCGCCGCTGGGTCGTCCAAAGCTGAATCCAACAGAGCGCCGCAGCTCCTCCGTCTCACTCCTCCCGCCGCCTATACACTCCTTTGACCGACCGCCGTTGCGCCCACTCCCGTTCGTTCGTTAAGCCCTCGCACAAGCGCCGGCGGCCCTCCGACCGGCCGAAACCCCGGCGGCCTGCTCGAGGTTCCGGGATTGGGAACGGTCTGAGCTTCTGCTCAGGCCGGCGGAGGCATTCCCTTTTGGTTTCTTGGAGTGGCATGGTGGTGGTGACAGGTGAATATGGTATGTATTGCTACTCGATTCCTCCTCCTCCTGTCTCGTCCTCTTGCGATTTCCTGTGCTACTACTTCCCGGTTGGCTGGCAATGTCGTGCGCCCACATAAGCGTGGTGCCCGGGGTACCGGCCTCGTCTGGATTGCTCCCCTCCCACCGCGCTGCTTGATTAATGAGGGGCACTACTGTTTCCTTCGGTTTTGGTGCTCCTGTGCTCAATCAGGATGAGATTCGCGTTCTGGCGATTCGGATACTAATCAAATGATATCGATTCCTCCCATCGATGCTGCCATTGCTTGCTACTGTATTGTATGAACCTTCTGCTGCTGCTGTTTATAGGCAGTCTAATACGCTTTGAGCAGTAATCAACTGAAGTGACAGTGACCCCCACCTAGATCTAGATAGATAATCTTTTCAGCAAAGTTGGGAATTTTGCCAGAACAATTTGATTATTATTTTTTGGTTAGTGAGTTACTGGTGACAGCAAACCTTTTTGTGTTTGTGCAGAACATTGTGTGTGAAGTCTGTGGAGATGTTGGTTACAGACAACTTCTGCTATGTTGCAGAGACTGCAAGCGTTGTGCTGTGCACCAGTATGTTTCCTTTTACCCTAATTATGCTTTATTTCATTACATTCGATTTTATGTTGCGCTTATTAATGGGTGTAGCGTAGACAACAATATTTTTTCCTTATATGACAAACCATGCTACCAACGTAGGGGGGTATCGCTAATTTTTATCCAGCATTTTACATCATTAATATTCTTTTCCCAACCATTTCAAAAGTCGTGTAGACAAACTATATGAATCTATCTCTACCTTCACATTCCATTGGTTTATAAATGGACATTTGCAAATCATATATAATACCTAAATGGAAAACTCAAGTACCTTCTGTAATGTAGTTATGTTGTTATAGCATATTAATTTATGGTTGGCCTTTTCTCATTGTGTAGATACTGTTTGGACAAAGTTGTCTTCGATTCATCGTTAATAAAATGGTTCTGTTATGAATGCCTACAAAGGCGTGGTGAAGTTATTTGCATCAGTTCTCTAGAGAAGGTGTCAAGTGAAAGGCCACCAAGTCATGCTCATTTTCGTTCTCCAGTACATCAGCTAGTTACCAAGAGTGTGGAATCAGTAAGGAATGCAGGGCCATGGAGAAATGGAAAAAATGAATCATTTGCGACTAAATATACATCTCTCAACAGAAATTATTCTTCGGTTAAGAAGCACAATAAAAAGAAGTCACTTATGAAACCAATGGGTAACTGCACAAGTAGGAAAGTACGAGTTGCTAAAGTTACCACCCATACAAGTGCCGAAGCATCACGCTCTTGTGAAACCATTGGGACAGAATCAGCTCAGAGCAACCACAGCAAGAACCAGCAGGTGGACCATGAAAATCCTGTTGCATTTTACACTGAGCAGCCTTGTCCTTTGATTGTGAATAGCTTGGGTAAATTGGTAGATAATCACCAGTCTCACCTCTTAGAAACAACAGAAGGGTTGTCTAGCAAATTGAAGAAAGTCCCACAATCACTCACAGCACCATTCAAAGGATTAGAGAAGAGAGAGAATGTGGTTTTAGGATCAAATAATTTAGGGTCATCATGTTCCACAGCTGACCTTGGAAACTCAGTTCTTGGAAAAAGTGGAGACAAATCGAATAGAATGAAGGATAGTGGTGCAAACTTGTCTTCCAAACACACTGATCATGACAATCAGACAAATCAACACACTTCAGATGGCTGCAAGAATATGGAAGGCAAGTCTGTAAAGGCTAAAAAAACTGTGGTTGATGCACATAAAAACACGTTTTGGACAGTGGACTCACTGAGAAATGATAAGGACAAGTCTGAAGCACATGGTGATAGTAACAGGGATATCTTAAATGGCTTCACACCAGGAGGAGACAAGGAAGAGGTCACACTCCAGCTGGATCATAGGGCTAGCAATGAGTTGCTGCCAAGAAGCATGGCCACCAATGTACCACAGCTGCCCACTCTGCAAAACGATGTTGTGGACACAGTCATGCCATATTCACCCAATGATGGTTGTGAGGAATTATTTTCCTGCCCTGGCATAAAAAACATCTCAAGTGTCCGAGAAAGAAGTGTAGATTCCATTAATATTTCAAGCAGTTCTCATGATACCATAGAAGCATCTGAAAGCAGTGAAAGATTCAGGGAATGCCAAAAGGCTAGCTCCTGTCGTCGCCGGAAAACTGTGAAGATGGCTATGGCGTCCTCATCATCTGAGGAGTCAGGTTATAGCATTATTCAAGTTCCATGCATATTTACCTCGAATTGTACATCACTTGTTATTAAACTCTGTTGCGAAATTTGGTACAGGAGAAGACACTGTGTCTGAAAACGAATCTTTGGAGTATGTTTTGGCATGTAGAAGTTATCTATCTAAAGCACAAAAGAAGAGAGTAATGAAGCTTATTCAGGAAATTCAACCTGAATTCACAATTTTTATATCAATAATGCGGAGGAACAATGTGCAACCCCCGGGTCCTTTTCTGGTAACTCCACTACTCCTATTGAATAGGCAACTCATTTATATCAACATTTACTGTTTGTATCCCTGCATTCCAAATTATAAGACGTTTTGGCTTTTCTATATACATAGCTTTTGCAATGCACTTAGATATACACTGTGTCTAGATTATATAATAAAATCAATATATCTAGAAAAGCAAAAAATGTCTGATAATTTGGAATGGAGGGAGCAGATAATAGTGCCAATGTATGGGAAATTTACCTATGAGATTCCGGTTGTCATGAATCTTCTTAGCATCTTGTTCCATTTGCTATCAGGGAATTACCAAGGAATATGCAATTGCACATTTCCCAGATAAAACCACAAATGTCACTCTTGAGACGCCTGGCAAGAGCAAGAAGTGGCATCCCAAATTCTACAAAAGAGATGAAAGTAGAAAGAACATGCTTATGGGACGGTGGTTAGACTTTGTCCGTGACAATCATGTGCAGGAGGGAGATATCTGCCTCCTTTTACCGACAAAAGATGAGATAAGATACACATTTATGATCTATGTTCTCCATGAAACAACTCATTCTGGAGGTGGGGCTGGCTTTCAAAGGATTGGCCCATGCCCTGGTTCATCTAGTGCAAAGATGGCTTTAGAAATCCATACTGAGGAGGAACCAACCGCTGGTATTGTTGCAAACATAAAAAAAAGTATTAGCTCTCTAGATTATTCCTTTTCTTATGGTCTAAAACTGTCTGCAGGAGAACATGTTTCCTCGGAAAGTGATATGCAAGAAATTTCTCATGAACCTCTGGAGAGCGGAGACTCTGATGATCCATTTGAACCTCCATACTTTGTACCATGCAGGAATCCTCTATCTAGATCCCAAAAGAGAATTCTTGAGGAGCGAGTGCGAGCTATCCGATCTGAAGTTCCCATTTGTGTGGCAGTAATGAAGAACAACAACATTGGTGTCGCTCAGCGTTGGATGCTAGTAAGCTCAATTCTTTTTTGTTTGGTCTTGTTATTTTTTTTATCATTAAGGTTGCTGTTCCTGTCATCTTAACCTTATTTTGTCTAAGTGGGCATCCTTTTGTCATCTGAGAGCTCACCAATTCACCCGCCTTCATATCAGCAAACTCTTTGCTCTTATTAAATCATAAAATTGTCATATTTTCTCCATAACAATCAACATACAAATACAACCCACCAATATAACCCCTCAGAGTTGTTGAACCAACATTGTAGTGTGTTGCTAACTTACTGATCCATAATGCATCAGGAATTATGTTCACGATTTGCTTCGGTATATCTCCCAACTATGGGTCAAACCATATTGCTCCAGTGCGAGGGGAAGACATGGGAAGCCAAAATGATGTTTCATAATGGTAGAAGGTGGTTTCTTAATGGAGGTTGGCCTAATTTTGCTCGTGGCAATGACCTGCGCGTAGGCGACATGTGTCTATTCGAACTGAAGACGAAAGAGAGTAAGCTTACCATGGCAGTCCATATCATTCGCAAGGAGCAGTTTTAGGTTGCCGTATACGGAAGTGTGCCCCCTGTTCTTTCGGCTGGCACCCTGGGCTTGTTGTGCCTGTTTTGTACTATATGTATTAATCCATGGCTGTGGCTGATCTCTGGAAGGATTAGAGACCAATCTGAAACATCTGTTGGTAGCTATCTGTTGACGACATGTATTAGCATGCAGTATATATTGATCCTTTATTATGCCGAAATGTCGCCTGGCTTTTTACTTAGGGAAAATTGGTTGTGTAGCATCCAAAGATTGCGATCTCCGTAAAATACTACCGAAAGTTTGGCGCTCCGTAAAATACCACTGAAAGATTGAACCGTGACCTGAGAGTAGCATTCTGTTAAAATAAAGTTACAGGAGTGACGGAAGCCTTCGTCGTGCTCGTATGTGATGTTGTCGTGGATGCTCGCCGCGAACAGGAACGGCTCCGGTGGCACCCGCCACCATGTGCAGCGCCCGTAGGTTGTGCTTGCGCACGTCCTTGCCAGATAGGACTATAGGAGCACGTGCCAGGACGTGGGCTCGAAGAATCGCTGCACCAGCGCTAGCAGGTTCCCGCGGCCAGAAAGCACGCGTCCTTGCCGAGTTGAAGCACACGTCCAGCAGCAGGTTCCGGTGGCCAGAAGCAGCGCATCGCCTTCGCCACCGTCAAACCATGGCCCTATCGGCGGCTTGGACGAGACCGACGAGGTGCCGAGGATGACGCAGCTGCCGAGGGTGGAGCCGAAGTTGGCCTCCCACTTTAGGAGCACGCCATCGTCAGTGCCAGCTCGATGTGGAGGCGCCGCAGCTGAGCGGAGCACCTCGGAGCGTGAGTGGTGGACTGGTGGGAGACATCCGCGATGGGCGCAGGCAGTGGCTCGAGCGCCAGGAGACGCCCGCCGCGGCGGGGGACAGGATATGGCCGAGCGCGTGGCGATGCCGCCGACCAGGACGCGCGAGATGTGCACGAACGCCCCGCGCAGCTAGCGCCTGGTGCGGCGGGGAGCCCGGTACAACGGAGGAGGAGGAGGGCGGCGGGTCGTCGGGATGACGCAGTCGACGCGGACGAAGACGGAGTCGACGAGCAGCACGAGCGCGTGGAAGCGGCACGAGACGAGGGCGTAGTTGCCGAGCGCCTTGATGTCACCGATGCGGTTGAGGACGTCCCGCTGCAGGGGCCCTCCTCCTCCTCCTCCATCCCACGCAGGTTACAGGCACACAGATCGGGATCAGGGAGAGGCGTCGGCGCGGGGCAGGACCGGGCGGGGCGAGAGCCAGGACGGCAAGGATGTGCGCAAGCACGGGCGCTACAGCACGTGGTGCCGGTGGTGCCGCAGGAGCCGTTCCTGTTCGCGGCGAGCGTCCATGAGAACAACCCGTAAGGGCGTGACAGCGTGACGGAGGCTACTTCCAGTTCCGTCACTTTCTGTCGCTTTATTTTAACGGAATGCTATTTTCAGTTCACGGTTCAATCTTTTGGTGGTATTTTACAATGACGCAAACTTTCGATGGTATTTTATGGAGATCGTGATCTTTCGATGCTACACAACCAATTTTCCCTTTTACTTATATATGTACATGTAGCACAGTTTTGTTTGCTTTTCAAGTTTGATTGCATGACAGTAGGTTGAACATGCAGCTTGAGTTTCAGCCGCAGTAGGTCGCCTCCCCACACAAAACAGAAAGTGAAGATGGAGAAGCTGCAACGTGTTTGAAAGCAAACCTATTTTTAGGCAAACAAATGTAATCAAGTTCTCAAAGCGGTTTTCACAATCCTCCTTTTCTTTTCTTGATCTGCTCTTTGAATTTGTCTGTTACAACAAAAATATACTCCTACGCCCTACCGCATGCAGCACCGATTTCGATTCTGCGCTCCGTCAGCGGTTGCCACGATAGGATTTGATGCACTTTCATTTACAATGTTTCCTCCTATTCTGCTTTTGCCTTCTGTAACCAAGGGCAACATAGTTGCAGAACATTTCGTTCTGTTGCAAAACGTTGCATGGCCTGTTGACTACTGATCCTAGAGGGATGCAAAACTAAAGCAGCATGCAGAGCACAAATGAACACTGTGGATCTGCATGCCGTCCCGATGCAGTCTTTGGTCTTGTTTCTGCTCTACATCACTACATGTTTGCTCCTCCACACAATCCAGGTTTGTTAATTATGTCATCTTTGAATCTGTGGTACGCACAACTAGACGCAAAGAAAGACTCTGTTCGGCTTGCTGAAACTTAGACTGAAAGTGGCTGAAAAACACTGTTCTGACTAAAATGTTGTGAGAGAAAAACACTGTTTCGGCTGAAAAAAGAAGCCGAACAAACCGGATATAAAATAAGCCGAATGGGGCCAAAACATACAGCTTACAATACCAATTGAAGCAACAGAGCAAATCACATGGACTTTTTACCTAGACCTCGGCGCCCACCCTAGCCATGCCCTGTTCGCTCGAACTTATCAGACCGGCTTATCAGTCATGGAACAGTGTTTTTCTCTCACCATAAATCAGCTTCACTCGGCTTATTGTCACACCCGATTTTAAGGATAAAATATGATACAAAATCTTATGTGCGCCCAAAGATAAGTCACACACATAAGCCGATAAATTATAAATAGTATCATCATAAGTGTTTATTACATCACAAATAATAAGACAGTCTTCACATAAATATAGCAGAAGTATAAAGAAAAATCTCTCGCAGGAAGCTACATATCACAGGGACGTCAACTGGTTGACTACAAGTCTAGTAATCCTCAGAAAAGTCGTTATTACCATAGCCATCTGTTACCCATCCGAGTTTTTTATCCAAATAATAAAAATAAACAAGCGTAAGTACGTGTTATACTCAATAAGTGTAACATGGGGTTCATGAGGCTCAAAAGGCTTGACACAGGTTTAACAATATTTAGCTTTTAATTGTCACAATTTTAGCATAAGAGTAGCAACAAGTTGTTTCAATCCCAAAGTAAAACACATGATCAATGTAAACAAGAATAATAAATAGCATAAACAGATAATTCTTAGTGATCATCTATTCCATAAAGGTTCCAAGGCCGCTCGTGACCGTGAGCACGGTTGATATACCAGTTTTACACTCTACAGAAGGTTGTATACTTTCACTGTGAGTCGTGATACCCATATGTCCGGATTAATTACTCCCAAGACACTTCCAAGGTGAGCAGGCAGGGGTCACTATAAAGCCTTTCAAAGGTTCGTCTAACAAGTTAGGGCCATTAGATTCACTCGGCAAACAGATGTAGAGTCTCACTTTCCGATGGCACATTGACGCGTAGCCTATACACATGGGGATAGAGGCCGCACTATACCCGATTCGGTAAGCCATTCTTACGCCAATAAAGGTAACCACTAACAAGCTAGAAAATATCCTCATACTGAGTTAAAGCCAGAGCCATATAGCCCTCATAGCTATACTGTAAATTCTGGATGATCACTTACAGATAAGTCCTTAGGGAGAAGAATCTAAAGCATTTAGAAAGTAGCTAAATACTCCAGCCCCCTTTTTCTAAGTTACTAAAAAGTCATGTTTTAATGTTTATTGCATATTCCATCAGTCAAGTTACAAGATCATGATTTAGTTGAGCACTAGCAAAGCTACCCAATGCATATCCCATATGAGACAAGGTATAAGTTCAATTCTAGAAAATCCCTATCAAGGTGACACATGCAACATGAATTAAATATATTAAAGTTGATAGAAAACAAGGATAATCCTATGTTATGCTTGTCTTGAACAAAGTGCTCCTGCTGATCCTGCACATCAAAGTAGTATTCTTGATCACCCACGAATTGCTCACCGTCTATACTCGATAATCACAGCAACATGCAAGCATCCAGAAACAATCATGCATAGCAAACAAAATCTAAAGATTAGAACAGTACACAAACAGTATAAAATCAAGATAAAAAGTTTATAAAACGAATCTACGTCTCACTACGAACACACAGACACGAAGATCACAAAAATCAAAGCTAAAACAAAGAAATTATGAATTAAACAAGATTTCCTTTATTAAAATAATAGATTAAATCTAACCTCAAATTTTAAAAGTTGAAAACATGCTTAATAGTATTATGAACATGTAGATTACTCAATTACGAACCTAACACAATTTGAACGGATCAAATCGGAATTAAAACGAAGATTTGATGGCTAAAACAATATTAGTGGCAAAATTGTAAATAAATAAAACTTGATTTTAGAATTTAAATTAATAAAATCAGGTTCTAAACCGAAACAGGGACTGCGGGCATGAAAACGACGAAATACATGGGCTCTTTAACAAAATTACAGGGACGACGGATTCTATACTAGAAAACTTTAGGGACTCTTTTGCAAAATAGCCAGGCGAAGAGGTACGGTGCGATATGGATCATTGGATCGAGATTGCAAAATAGCCGGGCGAAGAGGTACGGTGCGATATGGATCATTGGAGATTGGAAAAAAAGCCGGATCGAGGTCGGGCCGGGTCGGCGCGAGCCGTAGCGGCGCCATGGCCATGGCCGGAGACGGGCGACGCTCATGGAATACGGTCTACGAACCATGAAATAGCAAACCAAGGGCACCAGGAGATAGAGGAGATCAAGGCGAACTCACCAGGGGGGTTTTCGTCGGTGAGGGCGGGACTGCTGCGGTGGGTCGCTCAGTGAGGCAGACAACGGCGGCGGCGACTCGAGCTGCTAGGGTTTGGTGTCGACGTGGAGCACAAGCAAGGGCGGCACAGCACGGGCGCTATTTATGAGGGCGGAGCAACGTGGCCAGCAAGGCAAGGAAGGAGGCGTGGGCGGCGCGGACTCCGACTCGACGACGGCGAGAGTCCGACCTGAAGCCGACTCCAGGTAGAAGACGACCGACGTGTGGGCCCGGCGCATCAGCGGATGAGAGCGCGGGGTCGGGCTGTCAGCCAAACAGAGAGGGAGAGGGGAGCGGCACTCGTGGCTGCTGCTGGGCAGTAGAGAGAGAGAGAGCCAAACAGAGAGGGAGAGGGGAGCGGCACTC